AATATAGAATCTGCGACAGCAAGAATACAAGCGGCAACAGCGATAACAAAAGTACTACTCCTACAACCCTGAAGTAGCTTACCCCCCCCCTCTCTAATGGGCTCAAAAGCCACCGAAAAAGGTAGATAACTGAGGGGGGGGTACCAAAAAATAGAACCGGGTTTGGGGGGCATAGAACTTATTGTTCAGACCTCTGTATTGAGGTGTGCGGATTGAGGTTTTGCAAGCAGCCCGCAGAATAGTCCTTAGAACCCGCCTAAACCCGACACCCTAAACCCTAAACCCTAAACCCTAAATCCTAAACCCTAAACCCTAAACCCTCAGAATGGCGCAGAGAATAACCCCACAGCCCTCAGAAAAGCTAGGTCACGAGCCCCAAAACCCAAAACAAGTGCAGGATTTAGGGTTTGGGCTGAGGGTTTAGGGTTGAGGGTTTAGGGTTTATAACGGCTTAGGGCACAGCTCAGGGTTGAGGGTTTAGGGTTTAGGGCTTTGGCTTTAGGATTCCCAACCCTAAACTCCAAGATCCCAACTGCAAGATCCATCCAACACCCTCAGCTAGCTCCTTTCTGTCCCACAAGCTCCAAACGCCAGGATGGCGCGCACAGTAAACTCGCAGCAGCCCTTGTAGAAGCCCTTGCAGTAGCCCTTACCGTACTTCTCCTTTCACTAATCCCTAAGAGTCACTACCTAACCCATTCTAGGAGCTGTTATCGCAACCCTAAACCCGAAACCCTAAACCCCCAAATAAGTGCCGGTGGCAATGGGGCCAAGGAGCGATACTTCCGAAGCTTCCGCCATTTGGCAGGCTGGGCAAGCACGCAGAGTCAGAGGTTTTGGGTTGGTTAATTAGGTTTAGGGTTTAGGGGTTTACGGGATTAGGGGTTCAGGGTGTGGAGCTTTGGGTTTTGAGATTGGGGTTTCGGATGTAGGATGCAGTGGTTAAAGATGCAAGGCTTTGGGCTGCGGGCTTGGTGAACAGGCATAAGGTTCTGAATGTGAGCTTTGGGTTTGGGGTTGGAGAGTTGGAGCATGCGACTCACAAGTTTCAGGCACTGGGTGCCGTTTCTCGCTGGTGACACAACCTTTAGGGGGTTTAGGTTTGAGGGCTTAGGGTTTACGGGAGACGTGTTCTCGACAAAGCATGTAAAGTGGCGGTAGGAAAGATCGTGAGCATCACAATCTTGCGAGCGAGTGATAGGAACGACGAGCGGCGTAGAGTTATGGCATGTCGGGCTCGGGGATTTGGATGACTATGAAAGAGTCCATACAGAAGGTCCTTGCGGACAAATCCATGATCCCCTTTCAGCTGAGATTCTGTTTGCTTCGTCTCCAGCTCCACACCCCTAAACCCTAAACCCTAGGCCCTAGATTGAAGATCTCCGCGGTAATCCTAAGCCTAAACCCTTGCACTCTCCCTTAGGATCCCGAGCCCAGACACCATCGAAGCCTACGAACCTCCCGAACTGCGGATGAATCCTACACCCCGAACCCTGAAAACCCTAAACCCTAAACCCTAAACCCTAAACCCTAAACCCCTGTACTGCTGAACCCGAGACTTCAAAGCCTCAGAAAGGCCCCCCTAAACCGGAAGCCCAACCCCAAACCTCAGACCCTCAGAAAGGCCCCCCTAGAGGCCCCAAAAAAGCCCTATTATTAAAGCCCTATTAAAGCCCTCTTAAGGCCCTTTTAAAGCCCCAAGCAGCTGCGCCTCATCTGACTCTCCCAGTGGGCGATCACCTCCAGAGTTCCCTCGCCTTGGATTCACCACTTTCCTCTCGTAAGGGCACGGTTTTTTTCGACCCCGGAAGGGAATGCTTTCATGCCTTTCCCGT